TAAGTCTAGTTAACATCCATAACCATACAGTTATAATTTTGTTTTTCTGTGATGAGAACTTTTAATAACTATTCTCTTAAATTTATCAAAGATCTAACTTTCAAACATATGATATAGTGTTACACAGAAGTTTTTAATTTTAGAACTTCAATTTATGAGTCTTTTCTTTTGGTTTGTGCTTTTTGTGCCCTTATTAAGAATCTTTGCCCATCTCACGGCCATGCGATATTCTGCAGTGGTGCCTTAGTTGTAAACTGGATGATCATATATGTGTGGATCTGTTTCTGAACTATCCACAGTGTTTCAGTGTTATATTTGTCTATCCTTTGTATCAAAATTGCACTGTATTACTACTGCATGAAAACGAATCTTAGTAATAGTGTAAGTTTTCCAACTTGATTCTTTTTGATATTGTCTTAGCTAGTCTAGGATCTTGGTTGCTCCATTTAAATTACAGAATCCATCAATTTCCACCAAAAAATGATAGGATTTGACTAGGATAACACTGAATATAGATTAAATTGGGAGGAACTGACATCTCTTCCATTTAACATAAAAATAGTGACTCTTCCAATCCATAAACATGGTATATGTCTCCATTTAACATGAATGTCTTTATTTTTCTCAGCAATGTTTTTTAGTTTAAGTTTAGGCCTTATACATTTTTCCTTATATTTATCCTAGGTATTTGATAATATTTTATATGCTAACATAGCTAACTTATTTTTAATTTTTATTTTCCAATTGTTATATAGAAGCATAATTTTTTGTGTGTATTGATGGTACTAATTACCTTATTAATTTTAATAGTTTAATTATATACTTTTACTTTGAAATTTTTAAAAAAATATTATTTACAACAGAATAAAAATATATGAAATAATTAGAATTAAATCTTCAGTACAAGACCAGTCACTGAAAACTACAAAGTATTATTGAGAGAAATTAAAGAAGATATATAGAGACATATGATGTACATGTGTTGAAAGACTGAATGTTTGTAGCAATGTTAAAATGTTAATTTTCCCCCAAATGATCTACAGACTCAACAAAATACTGGGCAAATTCTCAGCAGAGATATTTGTAGTAATTGATAACCTCATTTTAAGATTTATATGTAAATTCCAAGGACCTAAAATGGCTAAAAGACCTTGGAAAAAGAACAAAATTAGAGGATTGACACTACCTCATATTAAAATTTATAAAGCTATAGTAATGACAACATAGTTTTGGTGTCAAGCTACATCAATAAATCAGTAACTGAATGAAACAGAATGGAAAATTGAGAAATAGAACACACATATATAGACAACTGATTTTTGATAAAGATACAGATGTGATTCAGTGGAGAAAGGACCTTCTTTTCAACAGTGGTGCTGGGATACTTGAATATACATATGTAAAATTGAACTTTGATTCAAACCTTACACCTTATACAAAAATCAACTGAAAATGGATCACAAATTTAAATTTAGAGGCCAACACTGTAAAACTTATGAAAAATGCTGTGACTTTGGGTTAGGCAAAGATTTCTTAGATACAAAATCAATAGTATAGTCTATTATAAAATAATTGATAAATTGGACTTCATCAAAATTAAAAACTTCTGCTATTTGAAGTACAGTATTAAAAAATGAAAAGACCAGTTATAAGCTGGAAGAAGTATTATCATATTATATATCCAATAAAGAAATTGTACTCAAAATATATTTTAAAAAACCTCTCCAAAGTAAAAAAAATAAGAAAACAAATAACCCACTAAAAAGTGACAAAGAGATTCAGACACTTCATCAAAAAGAATATAGAAAAGTCAAATAAGCACAATATCTTTAGACCATACCAAGTGATGATGGTAAAAATGTAGAGGAAATAAGTACTACACTGATGGTGGGGACATAAAATGCTACTACCACTTTGGAAAACAGTTCGGCAGTTTCTTAAAAAGCTGAAGATAACCTATATGTCATTCAGCTATTCTGCTTCTAGATATTTACCCAGGAGAAATCAAAGCTTATGTCCTTACAAAGAGTTGTACATGAAAAATCATAGCAGTCTTATTTGTTGTAGCCAATATCTATTCATAGATGAGTGGAAAAACAAATTGTGGTGTATCCATGCAATGGAATTTTCCTCTGTAATAAAAAGGAATGAACAATTGATTCAAGCACCTACAAGAATATCAAAATTATGCTAAGTAAATGAAGCCAGATTAAAAAATATATACATTATATGATTCACTCTATTTAAAATTTTAGAAAATACAAACTAATCTATAGTGACAGAAAGGTGATCAATTTTGCTAGGGGCCAGGGTGAGGAGACAGTGAGGGGCAAAGGAAGAGATTATAAAGGTACTTGAGGAAACTTTTGGGAATCTGAATATGTTCATTATCTTGAGTGGGTTGATGGTTTTACTCACTGGTATATATCAAAACATATCAAATTGTATAATTTAAGTATGGGCAGTTTATTTTTTGTCAATGATCCTCAATAAAGATGTTAAAATCTTTTCACTAATGTAGTTATGTTACTTTCATTTATAATTTAAAAAATTATATAAAATAATTATTTGTATAGTCATTTATAGCCTTTGTTAAATATCTCACAACCAGAGACTACATTTATCTTTTTTAATTCAGTAATTGACTCAGCAAACATTCAATATGCCAGACAAGGTGCTGGAGAAACAGAGGTAAAACTTTCCAATAAATGTAGTAGAGAACTAGTACTCATTTATTGAGTACTAAAGGAGTTCAGAGGACGTCACCCCAAAATACCACATTGATTATTTGGAGCTGAAGGAACTTGAGAAACAGCAGATGCGAGAAGGGCTTTCTAACCTACCCTTTTCTATCTAAAACAGGTTACGAAATTTCCCATGAGAAAGGTGTCCACTCTGTATAAAAAGGAGAAAGCATCCTTTTCATCAGAGACTGGAACTTGATGATAAAATGGATCTGTACAAACTTACCGAAATAACTCTTATTTTCCACTAGTTATTTCATTCCCCCACCCTTATACCAAATATCTCCTAGTCATTTTCCTACAATTTATTACCCATAGCTCAAACTGCATGGCCTTGCTAATTCTTCAGAAACTGATTGTTTCTTTGTCTAAAGTTATAAGAGCTTTCTGCTCTGGTCACTTCTTCAGGTCTTCATTCTTTTGTGAAGGCTCTCATATACCAACAAAAATTTAAACTTGTTTTTTTTTTTTTCTCCTGTTCACATGTCTTATGTCAGTTTAATTCTTAGACCCAGAGACCTAAAGCAGGTAGAGAATTTTTCCTCCCTTACAGTATCTATTATGTAATAGCTACTGTTTTTCCATTCATCACTTCATTTACTTTTCAGAAAGTAGAAGACACAACTTCTTATATCCATTTTACAGATGAAGAAATTGAGCCCAAAGAAGTTACAGTACAGGAAGTGGCAAAACTGGTACTGAAATTCAGGTCTGTGTGACTCCAAAGTCATGGTACTTTCCATCAAACTACAATACAAAATTTACAATCACATCTAAAGAGCCCTGGGGGTGGGGGTGGTGGGTGCAGAGGATAAAAACCTTAAAACTTTCTGAGGAAATCAGTGAAAGCTTTGCTACTGAGGCTTTATTGCTTGAGGTGAAATAAAGTCTTTCAAGTATTTAGAATTTTAAGGGAGTATATTATTGATGATCCAGAGGCAAATTACACACTACCCCTCAGGCATAAGTAATGTTTTCTTCTTCATTGCTCCTGTAGTTCTGTTTATGTGGTCAATTTATAACTCATCTACTTCAAAACTCAGTTACACTGAAGCTTATAATTGACAATTACAGTGGGCCAGAGGTTGCCATTTGTATTTTAACATCTAAAATTTTAAAGCACCTAAGATTTGTGTGAAATCCTCTCACATAATTATTCGCAACTTTATGAGTTAGGTACTATTACTATCTATTTTACTGACAAAGAGACTGCAACATAAATATTATCCAAAAGTATAAAAGAAAAACACTTAAGCCATAAAATTAGCAACTATATTTTCTGTAAAATTTATGTAAAATTTTGTCTTGGAGCTACATTAAGTAACAATGATAAGTTAAGAACATTTGGTAGACACATTCAAGTGCATAAATAGACTACATTTCGAGCCACTTACAAATATGGATTGAATTTGTATTCTTACTATTTCTTTCTATTATGGAAAATAAAAAGCTGATTAAGCTTTTAATTCATTCTAGAATTTTAAATTTACCTTTATGTAAAGTATCACCATTTCAAAAACACAAGCTAAAACTGAAGTTTAGCTTTTGAAGTTTAGTTTGTTCAGGATGATAATGAGGTGTTTTTACATAACATCATTCATTTTGTGTTCTAAGAAATGAGGACATTTAATAGGTTACAGATTTATGCATCAGCATTCTTCATTACCATGTAAGTAGCCTTAAAGGTACTGTCTAAAAAGCTATATTTAATACTTTGAGAATGTTACACACAATTATACGTTAAATGAATGCTTAATTAATCCTTTTTTATGATGTTGATGATAATCGTGTACATCGCCAAGGGCAGATGGTTGTTTACTGGAGCTATTAGTGTGGGACTCATATACCTGAAACCATGAATTACACGAAAGCGCGGTCACTTATCGTAGCCAGATTCTCTATTTAAACATATATACCCATTTAAAAAGAGTATTTTTCCCCTTCTAAAGCTTAGGCTAATTCTTGAAACAAACACACAAATTCATTAATGTTTATTATAGGCCTAAGAAGGCCTTAAAGATAAGTTAGCTAAAACCTGCTCTTATTCAGCACACAACTTTTTCAACAGTTAAAATTTGGAAAATAACCTGAAACGCGGGCGTAGGTCAAGGTTACCGCTTCATAAGATTTGTCTAAAACAACAACAAATCGTAAGCACTGAACTTTCGCCTTTTTGGAATCCCCGTCAGTCAACCTGCGTTTAAGCGGGGCCACGCCCAAGCTCAACCCCATATTCGTGAGTGCGCATGCGTTCCCAGCGAGGTGGGTGACCCTGAGAGGTTGCCGTCGCGCAGTGCGCAGACAAGACGTTGCGCGTGCGCAGGCGCTCGGAGCAGAGGCCTGCCGGAAGCCAAGATGGCGTATAGGTGTTCTCTAGGCCACAGTTGGCGCCTTATCATTCTCTGAGCGGGTATTTTGCAAGAAGCTGTGGCGAACGCCTTCTTCACCGCCATGGCCCGGCATCGGAATGTTCGAGGCTATAACTACGATGAAGGTAGGTTACAGGCTTATGCCGGATGTCATTTTCTCCGTTCCAGCCGGGATCCCAGCTTACTTGGCATCCACTTCGATATGTGAGTTCCTCGTCAGTGGTGCCAGGCTGGAATTCAGAGGGGGCTCAGTTGGAGAAAATAATAGGACATCTGAGTTCCAGAGAATGACATTGTTTTATATCGTGATTTCTGTCTTCTGGGATTGAGTTTATTTCGGGCGAGGGAGGTGCCCTACAGCGTCATATGGGATGGACATTTCACGAGGTTGGGATCCGGTGGCATTTATGCACGTAAGCGTTATCACCTCTCTCTTCCATTGTTTTCTCCCTGGTCGAGTACACATTTGCCTGCTTTAGCTCGTTTTCACGCTCCGCCCCCCTTCAAAAATGCCCATGAAATGTAGCTTATTTGTAAAACACGGATTGGTTTAATAGTTACATTCAGTTGTTTTGCTGTAGCTGTTAGATTTACGTGATAAGTCTTTCGTATTTGTTCATACATATTTAGTGCAGAATGTGGTTTGAGCTAACATTAATTTATTTTCTATGAGTTTCAAGTTAAATTAGAAGTTTAGCAGATGGTGTAAAAAGATACATATTAAAAAGGTCCAAAGAGTCAACCAATTAGGTGATCTTAGGTATATATTGAGTTCTTGGTTGATTATTCGCAATATAATCGTATTTTGGGTAAAAAAAAGCAGTACTAGAAGAAAGAAGGCTTCAAAAAAGACTTAACCGATTATAAAAAATGAAATAAAAAATGTGCATGTGAATGTTCCCTGAGAGTTTAAAAGAAGTTAGAATTAGGATAAACGCAGCATACATTGGATAATTGTAGGCATCACCAAACATCATACAAACTAAAATCATAAATATGATCAAGTGCAGACGAGGAATAAAGACCTATTGCTTTGTAAAGGGCAGAACTTATAAGTGTGCCTAATATATTGGTGGTTATTGACACTCCCAACAGATTATGGTGGTTGTTACTGGCACTCCCAGCAGATTATTGTAGAACATCAGAATACGCTAACCATAGTGAAGGGTAGCTAACACTATGTGCTGCTTTTGGAGACTGTAACCCAGTCAGCCTGGCACATGTTAGATTCCTGGTGTTCACTTCGGAATGGAGGCCCTTTTAAGTATTGCAAGGGATGTAAGTATTGCATGTGGACCATGGGTACCTGAGAAATGACTTGAACCTGGGAAGTATTTTTGCAGATGATATAAAAGACATGAATAGGCCTAATTACTACTTATTCATTTCTTTAATATCATTTCCTCAGCCAACATTAATTGAATGCTTATTCTTCGTTAATTGAATGCCTGGAGTACTGTTCTAAGCTTTGGGGACAGATAGTAAGATGTTTGAAGGAGTCTAAAGGAGGAGACACAAAAGTAACAGATGATTAGAGCATGAGATGCTACAAAAAATACAAAGTGCTCTGGGATCTGTGTAAGTGAGAATACCTTATTTAGAATGGGTTTGAGGAGTTTAAGTAGGATTTCTATGTGAAGGAAAACTTCCTGGAGAAGTTCTTGTCTTGAGGGAGTGAGTGCTAAATATGTTCTCACCTTGGCAACCTCAGGTTAGGTTGTCATGTTTCTATGGAACAATTTGATGACATCATAACCAAGCTATTCCTATAGCATAGGTTCATCCCCTTTTCCAGCTTACAAATGTTCTACTGATTTTAAGGGTCCAGTTAATTTCTCTTCTTCCCAGTTAATAATTTAAAAATTCTCAAAACTACTATGACTTCATTAAAGAGAGTTTGTGCTCCAAAACCTATTGGTTCCTCTAATTCTCACTGTTTTCTTCTCTAATTTAGATAGCGCTTTACACAACTGCCTTAACTATTAATTTAAAAGTGCTGGGAAAGCAAAGTCCATACTTTATATTTACTGCAGTAGCTGCCATAATGCTTATGTGCAGTAAATACTCCTAAAATTTTGTTGAGAAAAAGAACCGCTTTACAAAACTACCAGGAAAGAATTCTCTATATTTTTATATTGTGACACTTTTAGGGTCAATTTCAGTATTGAAAAACTGACCTAGCAAAAAAGATATTTTATATCTAAAATTTTTATGTCTGTGCATGGATCCTCATTTATTTGCTATAAGTAGTTATTAACTTAGGATCATGATCTAATTTATTGAATGTTACATATTTTAATCCAATGGTAATATATAACTAATTTTTCTTTGCCATAAACATTTGAACATGCTATTTCTGCTGTATGAATACCCTCATAAACTAGCTAAGTATCTTATGAAATTGGTTA